TGAGTTAATGGAAGTTCACTGATGCTGTACCAACAACAGTCAGGAGCCTGAGTGAGACCAACCTAGGCCCTCTGCATGTGTGTGATAATCATGTAGCTTAGTCTCTTAGTGAGTCTTCTACCACTGAGAGTACGACCTTTCCTTGACACTTAGCTGACTTTTGGTAACTTGTGCCCCATGATGGATTGCCTGACCCCGCCTGGAAGTGAGGGGAGGAACTCAAACCTGCCTCAACTTGATGTGCTATACTTTATGTAAACCTGCCCCTTTCTGAACATAGATGGAGAAGGAGTGGATGGGGAGGGGTGCAGACGGGAAAGGGAAAGGGACAGGAGGAGGAGGGGGAAACTGGTTGGGATGGAAAATAAATGAAAATGTTTTAAATAAAAAGAAGTCAAAACAAAAAAATAAAATCTTCAAGGGTATCTTTCATTCCACTTACTTCCTGTTTGCAAGGTAGAATTTTATCTGTAAGTGTTACTCCACCTGGTTTAGTCAATGGCTTAGATTATCACCTTGTCCTGTTTTCTTGACATAGCTATGCTGGAAGTAGGCTCAAAGGTTCAGGACTAAACAAACAACAAACTCCCCTACATCTGGATTCTCTCTCGCATCCATGGCCTTACATCCAGGAAAGAACTGTATTTCTATTCACTGTTTCAAAAACCAGACCCACCTCATTAACATGTTAAAATTTTCTCCAGTATAATTAAAAGTGTTTACCATGGTCACACAGTTACTAGACATTCATCTTTTCCCTGTCTGTAAAACTCCTTTCTCATTAACATTATCTTTTTTGATTGCTTCTTAGTAGAAAGCAAAACAAAACAAAATAAACACAAAAACACAAAGATGTGGATTTATTGTGCAGTAGATCCCAAGATAAGAGCACATACAAAGCCTGGCGGAGGTGGTGAATGCCTTTAATCCCAGCACTCAAGAGGCAGACGTAGTCAGATCTCTGTGAGTCCGAGAGCAGCCTGACTGCAAAGTGAGTTCCAGGACAGTTAGGGTTGCTACACAGGAAAACTTATCTCAAAAAACCAAAGGGGGGGAGGAATACAGCACATCCAAAACTCCACGGAGAGGGCTATTCACACACGTATTTATTATTGAACCTGCATTCTTGCTCACATATGTACTTATCATTGAACCTGTATTCTTGCTTGCTTAATGATTCAATGAAAGTTTTTGAGCCTCATTTGTGAATTAACATGAGTACAAAATATTGGCACTCGCTGTTCTAAATTAGTGAGGCCTATATTCTGCTATATTTGACCTTTTTCTGGATAGTGGTGATGGACATCTAGCCATTTCTCATCTGGAGAAGATTACAAGTTGAAACAAGTGTGTTGGTCCTCCTCCCAGCAGATGCAGTAGGTGTAGGTGGTCTTGCAAGTGTGCAAAGGCTCTCTGGATCTTTCCCTGGTACAAGAACGGAGGGTCCAAGTAATACCTTGACCTTTTTAAGTTATATGAATCAAGGGGTAACAAGAAGAGAGCTCTGAAACAACAAAATGGGATCAGACTAGGAACAACCAACAAAGACTACTCTCCATAGAGGTAAAAGTATAGCATAATAAATCTTTTTCCTCAACTCCAGTCAGTGGGATAAGTATCCACTGATCTCACAGCAAGGAGAAAGGTGAGAGCCACAGAAATAGGGGAAGGCAATGTGTAACAGAACATTTGGAGAGATGGTATTTTGCATTAAGGTCTTTAACCTTTGTTCCACCACAAAACATCATTTGATCCTCTCTATATCATCTGCCATATTGTGTCTTCTGTAGGGGTGGATTCATAAAGCCCTCCCCTTCTCCTACTAGAACAGAAACTCCATGTTCACCTATCCTTCCATCTCAACATAAAAATACAAGACCAACATCATAGGAGGCCCTTGTAACTTCATGTTCATTCATTCACTCGTGCTTTCAATTAAAACTTTTTAATCACCTGTTATGTGCTAGGCATCTTGCTAGTCACTGGAGTTAAAGCAGTCACTTTATCCATCAAATATCTATATTATCATGCCACTTACATTCTTTTAAAGGACACAGACAATGAACAAGTCGTCAATACAGGAAATATGAGGTTGTAAAACTACTATTAAATACAAAGGCAGGGTAAGAATAATAGAATGATGAGTGTCTACATTTCTATACTATGGAACAAACAATAGTAAGCTTTGTTGGAAATGATTTACATTCTAGCTGTTCTCAAGGGTGCAATTCTTTTAATGCCCTTAGTAATTTTCTGTTTTCCTTTCTGTTTGTTACAAAGTTAGGGGGCAGCTTACTCCAGGACAAGGAATCTTGGAGGACACTTGGAATAAACGTTCTGTTGCAAAGAAGTCCTTTTGGCTCCCAGAGTCTACTTTCAACAAGCTTAAATAACACATAAAATTTATCTATGTATTTTATATTGCAAAGATAATAAAGCAAAGGTTGAAAATTAATCATAGATACTATTATGATCTGCATTAATGTATTGTTTACCAATGTGGTATTCAAAAGTCTTAATGTGGTGACTTTTACATAGGGTAAGATCTCTTGAATCTAAAGGACTTCATTTGTCCTGCTGCATAAGAGGTCAACGCTGAGGTAAGACTATCTACTTGCATAGCCACTTACTGGTATTTCTCCCAGGACAACATTTCTATATATATGAGGATGATGATGACAAATGAGAATTCTCTTTCTGCTGCTTAGATAAATTAGCTACTAATGTTGGAGATGATGAAGGGAAATAAATGATCATCAATAAGTTCCCCACATTCTTTATCAGTTAAACTGTAGGAAACCAAGAAAAAAGCTTGACTGAAATATCTTTGAATCAATAATTTGTTATGCATGCCATTCATTTTAATCATCCAACTAGTTGTGTATTATTTAAGAGGTGTCTATCACAAAAACGTATTAAAATGGCATTTATTGTAAAAGAAGAATTGGGAAACTTTTGGGCTAATAAAAGAAAGGAAATATAGTAAGGACTGAAAGCTGAAAGTATTAATGTTATGAGAAAGGTATCAAGAACCAAGGCAGGTGAATCCAGGGCCTAAGGAAAACTTCTCCAAATATGAGGAAAGAGGCAATGTCCTTCAAGGCCTAGGGCTTGGTGGCTAGGACTAGAAAAAATGGGTAGGATATGTGTTAAAGATTGTTAGACACTCCTGAGAACACCATAGGATAAATTGTGAAATATATCCAGAAAACAATGAGTTCAGTGTGGCTGACCGTATAAGAGAGGGAAAGTGGATGGTATCCGACGAAGATTAAGAGTAGCTTGTTTTTTTTAGATATTTATTTATTTGTTTACTTATTTGTGTATGTGTGTACACAGATATGTAGGTGACACGGCACATGTATGAAGATCAGAGAACAACACCCAGGAGTCAGTTCTTTCCTGTCACCTATGGGATCTGGAGATTGAACTCAAGTATTTGGGTCTGTGAGCAATCACATTTACTCTCTGAGCTGTGTCATCAATCTAAGATTAGCTTCCTAAGTGACCTGAACGTCACCATGACCACCTAAAACAAGATGAGCTCACTGGGTGGACCGGGAAAAGATGATTCCTCCAAGTATAACTCAAACTTCCCTGCTCTGGTTTTGGATCTTCTATTGCTGCCTTTCCCTGATGTCTTCAGGAAATACAAGAGCTCCATCAGTTTCTTTACACTTCACTTCAGGTATATTTATACAAGTCACATTGAGATTTCAGAGGAAGACTTTACTGTATCAACAGACTAGGACCTAGCATGATCTAGCAGTTAGTGTTTCTCTGGCTGACAAGGACAAGATTTTTTACTAAGTGCACCCCTCCCAAACACACATATACCTGGGCTTCCTTCTAGTTTCCAGGCTATTTTCATTGGGACTTAGTGGTCTGAAGGTCCAATTAAGGTAGGGAATCTGGATACCGAAGACTGTCTTCTAATGATATTACAACTAATCGGCAAAGCCATTTATCTCCAGTGCCTCTACTTTCTTCCCACGAGAGATAAAGGTTGCTTTGTTAGTGACCTTATACCTGAAAAGAGGGCCTCTGTCAGATGCCCGTGCTGGGATCCCAAGAAGGCAATGGAAAATTAAAGACATTCTCATCAAGGAAATTGTAGTCAAGCTAGGAAATAAAATTAAATGTGCATGCCCAAAGTAGAAAGGAACACCAAAACTTCATCTAAGGAACATTGAATAGGGTATGATTAAGGGCAAAGAAACGACCCAGGCTGCTGTGCTTTAGTTCAACCAAGATTAGTCCAAACAGTTAAGGTGGTCAGAGAGGACACCTTTGACAAGATGACGCTTAGGCTGTTCTTGAAATTGTGTGTGTGTGTGTGTGTGTGTGTGTGTGTGTGTGTGTTGTCTGTGTGCTGTTGTTGTTGATATAAAATTCTGTTTCCAGAGCTTGAAGGACCCTGAGACTCTTGGTGTGTTTGCCATTGTATAGATAAGGAGACTGAAATCCCAAAAGAGAAATCTCAGTAAGAAAAGTTAGAACTAGATTCAAGATGTTCGTGTTCCCAGTCCACTACTCTTCACAAGGAGCTGTGAAGGGAAGGATTGTATTTTAGATGTAAAAATGCAAACAAAGTAAAAGAGAAAAGGCCTAGAAATCTGATGGAGCAAGTCAGTGGTTTTCAACCTATGAGTCACGACCCCTTTGGAAGGGTCAAACAACATGCATATCAGATATTTACATTACGACTCATAACAGTAGCAAAATTATAGTTATGAATTACCAATGAAAATAATTTTGTGGTTGGAGGTTCTCACAGCCTGAAGAACTGTATTAAAAGGTTACAACATTAGGAAGGTTGAGAACCACTGGTCATAAGGAACTCTTCAAGCTACATTCCTGTCTCCATTCTCAAAGACATTTACATGACTTAAAATCATGTATGGAGTCTTCTTAATTCCTCAAGAATAAGTTAATTTACCAGGTGAAATATATAAAACTGAATTCAAATTGCAGGTCAAACATCAGGTCATTTTATTTGCTTAGCAACGGGCAATTTGTTGAAGAATGGCCTCTCTCATGTAGCCTGCTATCTCAAAAGCTTTGAGATTGAGAGGTCCTCCTTCTGTCCCCTTCTTTCCCATCACCACGAGGTACACAGATTCCATCTGAATCACTGTTACTGCCTGGCTTCCTCTACTTTGACCTTTGGTGCGCAGGTCCATGCTGTTGTTGCCCTCAGTGAACAGGTTGTCTCTGATCAACAGGCATTTGATTCCAGCAAGGGTGACTCCGTGGAGAAACAGTTTTTCTCTCTCATCTTTTGCCAGTAAGGTCTGAACTTCTTCCTGGGTCATCTGAATAAAGTTGCCTTCTGGGGAAGAAGCTAGTATCCAGGGGGGACAATTGGTGACAACTGCTGCATCACTGCAAATCTCAGTTTGGAGGAACAATCTGATACAGTCTTGCCAGATGTCCTGGCTGGAGCCTTCTGTGCGCTCCATAATTGAAGAACGCAGTCTTTATAAGGTGAATATAGAGTTCCTAGAAGGTTGATTCTCACAGAAAGTTTGTTGATAGTTGGCTCAAGAAGTTTGACTAGCTAAGACTGACAGAAGATAAAAAAACAACCTCCACTGTTTCTTGAGTGTTCTCTGAGCAGCAGGGTAGTGGAGGTCTAGGATGAAGTTGTGCCCCAAGCTTCCTGTGCTGGTTTTGAAGGGGCGGTGATGTCACTATGGCTTTATGACTTTTATGACAGTCATCACTCACTACATCATTAGAAACCTCTGGCAGTAGCATTCTGGGGCTGCCTCTCTGGTCAGTAAGATAAGGGGATGGAGTAAACCAACTTATTCTCCCAATTACTATGGGAAGAACACCAGCTTCCAATAGGTAAGTGGAAGGCATATATGTAATAACTAAATGGTAAACTTGAGTGTAAAGCAAGACAGGTGAAATTTACTGTAATAAATAGTATTTAACATATGGTCTTATCTTTCAGGAACCTGAGCACTATGTATAAAGTGAAAAAACATTACATGCTTACCAGTTTACATCTTCTGATGGGACAACACTATCACACTCTTATCTGCTTCTTCTAGCCTTTATTTTGCCCTCTAATCTACACTAGCTATAAATTTAGGAAAGTTTATTCTCATCACTTGTTCAGCTAGTATCAAGTGTTTACTATGTGCCAAGCACTTTCCTAAGCATTCGAGTAGTGAATTAAATAGACAAACCACAGGAGTCATGTAACTGACTTTCCAAAAGAAAGAAAAGATTATCTCGTACTGGAAATATTTGAGGAACCCTGCATTTTCTTCTAAGTTTTCTCATTCATTCCCTGGATTTCCTACTCACATGAGGGGCCATTTCTGAATTTTGACTTTCCTACATTCATTGGTAAGACATTCTGCTTCAATTTGCCTTAAAGAGAACCACTATAAGGAACCACTAATAGTAACAGTTGTTGTAATTTAAGAAAAAGCACTGTACAAGAGAAAGATGTGTTGAGATAAGGTTCAAGCAGAGATATTTTTTAAATCGGGGAAAAGGATCATAAAAGGGGGAAAGGGAAGAGGGGAGACTGGCCTCTGGAGACAGGAGCAGCAGGACAGAGTAAACAAGGGGAGAGAGGGGGAGGAAGAGAGAGAACGGAACAGAGACATGGAGAGAAAGAAAGAGAGAGAAGGGTGGGGAGTGGGCAGGGCCCTTTTAAAGGGGAACACAGTGAATATGCACAGGTGGTAGTCTTAGTGTCTGCAGATGAGGGCATATCCTGTCAGAACCCCAAAGACAGGCCAGTACAGATGCCTGAATATGAACAACAATGTCAAAATCTGTGGCAGCTCTGAAAATTCATTCATTCATTTAGTAAGTACTTACTAATTACTACATGCTACTAACTACTGCAAGCCACACTTGTTCCAGACTTTGGAAAAATCCAGTTTTCATGAACATGATTTAACAGAAAGAAAAATCAGTAGCAAACGACAGATATATCTCTATTTTATCACTATTCTCTAACATTCACTATTTTCTTTGACACAAAGAAAATAGTGAATGTTAGAGAATCAGGAATGGCTTTGTTTTTTATAATATTTGGATAAGGATTCTCTGATACAGTAACATTTGGACAGAGATCTGATATAGATAAGTAAACAAATATGTACATATGAGAGGGAAGAAAAATCCTTCTCAGGAAGAAATAGCAAATGTAAAGGCCTTAGGAGAAATGGCAAGGAATTCAATATGACAACGAAAGAGAGAAAAGAGTAATGGAAGATGCAGTTGAGAGGTACTAGGTAGAACTCCTATTTATATCTTCATTGTCTGTGATTAAGCATTTTGCTTGTATATAGAGATGGGGAGCCATTATAATATTTTTTCAAAATAATAACATACTACAGAGACTAAAAGATACTGTGCAGCAAATAGATTCTATGAGGACTAGAGCCAAAGCAAAGAGACCAGCTAACATGCTCAACCCAGCTAAAAAGTCCTGAGTCCTGGGTCAGGATACAAGTTGGAAAATGATTAGATTTGGAGCACATTTCAAAGGCTGTGTCCCATATAAAACAAGAGAAAGATAATATATCTAAGGATTAGAGTCTGAACAACTGTGCTATGGATTGCATATGTGTGTTGCCTCTGAAACTATGTTAATCCTTAATCCCCAATTCCAAAATACTAAAAATTAGTTGTGATAGTGTAGGCTTATAATACCAGTACTTGGGATCTTAAGGCAAGAAAATCGAGCCTTTCAGATCCAAACAGACTACATGGTTTGAAACTGAGTAAACATATAGCAACATCAACAACAAAGCTATTCAGAGAATAAGAAGTAAATCAGCAACTCCACTCTCATGTATGGATTATTGCCCATAAAAGAGATAATTTGAACTACTTAGGCCATTTTTATTTCTATCCCCTTCTTCCACACAAGTACAAAACATTCAAGATGTCCTGTAGTACCCAAGACCCTGTCTCAAAAGCAAAAGCCCAAACGAACAAGCAAGGAAACATATCAAAAAGGGGATCTGGGGAGGTAGCTCAGTTGGCAAAGTGCTTGTAAAGCAAGTTTAGGAATGTACTTTGGTCCTCAGAACCCACATACAAAGAAGCCAGACGTGGCATTGCTCAATTGTAATCTGGGTCCAGAGACAGAGGTCCATTCCAGACCTTAAAAAAATAAAATAGGTGGCATCTGAGGTTATCTTTTGACCTCCACATACATGTACCCATTCACACATACATGATAACATGATAACACACACACACACACACACACACACACACACAACTTGAAAACACAGAAAGCAGTCTTCATATACCCTTTTCATTATATCAAACAACTCCAAAACCATTTTTTCACTGATCAACTAGAAATGTGGTGGTATGAAAAAGTTACACTTGAGGAACAGCAGATGGCAGAGGTAGGAGAATGAAGAAGTCAAAGGGGGATGTGAAGGGAAACTAGAGTTTGATGTGAGCTACCCTATCTTTAGTGAGCTACCAGGGATACATAAACAGAACTCTTAGATTGAGTTCACAGGATCTGAGATATAAATTTAGGAATTCCCTACCAAAGAATAAGAGTTGAATTTGTAGAAGAGCTGGGCAGCTGAAGGGAAGGGTCACTCGAGGATGTGCATGCACAGTGAGTCTGCTTTATGACAAAAGCTAAAGGAAGAAAGCATGTTGAATACCACTCAATCTTGCAAAAGAAAGTTAAGTACCAAGAGGAAAGTGTATTAAGAAACTAGAGTTGAATGGATACAGAAGACCGAGTAAAGAAAATGATTAGGAAAGTGAGTTTATTATTTACTAAAGATGGTAAATAGATAATTCTTTTGAGGTTTGAACAGTGAAACATGTGAGCCTCTTCTTCAGGTTTGGACTAGGGAGATGACAGCAGACATTTGAAGGTAGGAAATTGAAGAGCCCTTCCTGTCATTCAAAAATTATTCAATAGTGACTAGACCAAGGTTTCATCACAGAAAGGCTCTTTAGAAGCCCAGCTGCCAGCATAAGATGACCTGTTGCTTAGTGTCATGCACTTGTAACAACGATAGCAGTGCAAAAAGAGCTGCACCAATCAAATCCGTGGTTCCAATTCTGTTGTTTGAAACAGTCACAATTTGCTATGTGGTCAACGATGACCTGAACTATTGGTTTTACTGCTTTCACCTCCTAAGTGTTGTGGGGGAGGCAGGCATTCACCACCATGACTGGTTTTATGCAGTACTGGGGTGGAATCCAGGGCCTTGTGAATGCTGCTACATCTCCAGACTTGGAGTCTGGAGTCTTAAGAACTGTGCCAAACTTCGAGCCTGAACCAGAGTACTTAACTAGCAAAATAAAAATGCACTTGCCAGAAAGTAAGATGCTGGTATAGATGTGGACTAAGTATCTTGATAGGAGTTTTTGTTAGTATCGGGAGATGCAACTTTGATCAGGAGCAAGGCTAAGAAAGCCCTGGATAAGAGGTGGCAGCAGCTAGAGAAACAGCAGCGGGCTTCTGCTGGCAGCATTGATATTCGTGAACCCTTTATTGGTGCCCAAGGTAAGGAAAAGAATCAGCTTGGACTCCCTGCTGCTCGGGCACACTCCTCTATGCTTCTCAGGTTGCTCTCTGACTCGCACTTCCAACTCCTGCATCTGGGTTCGCTTTCTGAACCTACAGCCCCACTCAGCCAAACTGTGCTCTCCTCCTCAGGACCCACTTGGGAGCTGAGTGAAGCTGAAAAGGGTGGTTTCCTGTTCCAGTCTGTAACATACCTGGTGAGTACTTGCCACTTTACTGAAATTGCCGTCTGGCGCCTTACAAATCCAAGCTGGTATCTCTCACTATCTTCACCTTAGTTTCCTAGATTGGTAGTCGCCTTTACTAAATACCTTCCTTTTATGGTGCTGCACCACCCTGGAAAGCTTCCTTCTTCAACATTTATTTCCTTTCCCCCTCCCTCCTTTGGATACTGCCTGTCTACAAACAGGCTGCCCAGATCCCCATTCTGCCCTCAAATCAAGTGTATGGATTTGAAAATGCCTCCAGTTCTAGCCTGGCAATCAGAAAGAAAGCAGGTAAAGCTCAGTGCACCTAGCTCAGCTCAACTGAGGGAAGAAATACAAGAGGTAGCGTTACCAACTCAGTTGACACCTGTTTGAAGCCTGCTCAACCTTTAGAACTACTTATTTATTTTTAACTTTTTACACATATTACTCTCAGTTCCCTTTCCCTCCCCTTCTCCCCCGGCCTCCTATTTCTCCCAAGCCTCCATTTCACTCCATCTCCCTTCTGTTCCCCTGGGAGGGTAAGGCCTTCCATGAGGAATTTTCAGAGTCTGTTTTATAATCCTGGGAAGGACCTAGGTCCTCCACCTTGTGTCCAGGGGGATGGGAGAGCATCCTTCCATGTGGAATGGGCTCCCAGAGTCCATTTGTATGCTAAGAATAAATACTGATCTACTCTCCAAGGTCCCATAAGTTGCTGAGGCCTCTT